TCAAGGCCTGTTAGCAACTACAGCCCTTGGCACCGCTTAACAGCTTAAGTGAATTGAACGATTGCTAACAATTACCTTCCCAAAACCCTAACAGCCGTCGAAAATTCTTTCTCAGCATCTGGGTGACCCAACCAGAATGTAACATCCTGTCAACAATATACTGCTGTGGAAGAAAGCGCTCTGTTACAGGTCCTTACAGCTGCTAACAGTCCCTAGAATCAGACAACTGTTAACTTAAATAAACCTAACAGCCGTCAAAAATTCTTTCTCAGCATCTGGGTGACCCAACCAGAATGTAACATCCTGTCAACAATATACTGCTGTGGAAGAAAGCGCTCTGTTACAGGTCCTTACAGCTGCTAACAGTCCCTAGAATCAGACAACTGTTAACTTAAATAAACCTAACAGCCGTCAAAAATTCTTTCTCAGCATCTGGGTGACCCAACCAGAATGTAACATCCTGTCAACAATATCCTGTTGTGGCAGAAAGCGCTCTGTTACAGGTCCTTACAGCTGCTAACAGTCCCTAGAATCAGACAACTGTTAACAGTGTGGGCTCCAGGTACATGTCAGTCACAGGGCCTAACAGGACCAAACAGCCTCTAACCCAGTGTCTAACTGGCTGTTATGCCACGTTGACAACTATCGTCAGCAGCTGATAATGAGCCCGGCTGACAGCCCCGCCTAAGAAGTTAGCCGCTGTTAGACCCCCTATGAGTTGGTAGGGACTGCAGCTGCCCACTTTCTCTGTATCCCTGCTCATCAAGGAACCTGTCTAAGCAACCAACGCCAGCTTGCCCTTGTACTGGACCATGGAGTCATTCCATAGAACATTTGTGCAGCCATGGGAGAAAGCCCACTCCTTGACCTGCTGCTTGTTGAATCTGCCAAGTAGGCTCTGCACTGGAAGCTCTACGACCGTGTGCTTCTTTAGCTCCTTGCCAACCTTAATGGTACCACTGGGCAATACCATGGAGGTCTTCTTGCTGTTGTTCACCCTGTGCATAATGAAGACGGACACCTTGTCGGTGTCGTGCACGATGTTTTCCTGCATGGTGAATATGGAGGGACCGACCAGTGCTTATTCAATGTTGTGGACATGTATGAAAAGAAACATGATTATTATATTATTAGCAGTAGCATAAAATCTATAATCCAGCAGGCAAAGACATTAATTTCAAGCAGTTCATGGTTGCACTGCATTGTAGGTGCAATGTATGCCACACATGCTTACATTAATTGTATGTTGTGAGACGGCTGCAGATGACAACATGGCCATTCTTGTGAAGAAACATCAAGCCTAATTAACTTACAAGACTGCCAAAGACCACACCGCCAGCTAAGAGCACAGGACTGTCCTTGCCCTCGACAATGAAGACGAACTTGTCATCTTCATTGTTTAGAGGCCCTAAGCTCTTCTGCAAGTATTCCAGGTGCGACTGTGAAGACTGGTACTTCTCAAACTCCTCTTCGTCAGCTCCAAAGGAGTTGAATCTCAAAGCATCTGCTGGCAAGGCATGCACATATGTAACGGTTAGTAAGGTCTTCAGCTGCATGTATGATGTATGCAGGCATGTATGTTTCATGGTATGCATATTTGAGGTTTCAATACTAGGGTTTTGAAAATCCAATAACCCCAAACTATAACTACGTCTCTCCTCTTATCTCTGCATTTACAAATAAGGGCTAGAATGGATTTGCAGCATACACAGTAGCAGGACATTGAATCCCCCCAACCCAAAACAATTTTAAAATATAATTTCCAAAGTACTCTTAGTACTCGCCCTCCACATTGGCCTGCTGCTGTAGATTTCCAATCCACTTCTTGCGGTTGTTCCATCTCTCAACCAGGGACTTCCGGACACGTGCGTGTATGTCCTCGTCGGTTGCTTCAGAGTCCAAGTGGAAGCCAGCCACGGTTCTGTCTCGCCCACCCAGCGTAACCATGAAGTCCTCAATCTCCTTTTCGGTCTGTAATCAAGCATGAGCACCCATGAGTATTGAGTGACAGTCTTTCAAATATGAATAATTCAACCCTGCCCATAACTTACCACTTCCAG